TAGGAATCTTCATTAGTAGATTTTTTTTGATTAAAGTTAATCAATTTGAATGTAATTTTTCAGGCTGTTAAAGGCGTTTATAAAAGCTCTTTATAATATCTATCAGGAAAATCATTTCACATATTTGGAGATAAATCCTCTTGGTAAGTTCACTGAATTTGTTCCTACAGTACTAACTCAACAGATTCTGGTCTCCATGTTCTTCCATATTGTGTTTTTTATTATATAAATAAAAAGCGCCAAGAATTTTTTTGAGATTTTAGTATCACTGTTTGTGCTTGTTTCAGTACTGGTGCACGGAAAAATCTACATCCTTGATTTGGCTGCAAAACTCGATGAAACGGCACTTTTTCTGTGCTCAGAAAGTTGGAAAACGAGAAGTGGAGAAGCAGTTGATTTTCCAGCTCCTTTTGGACGGGATAAAACAGTAGAGGTGGGGGATATGGATATTTTTGATCACTAACTGTACACGACGTTTCGCCCGTTGAAAAACGGGACGCTAGCAGTTACAGCGAAAAAAAAAAAACTGAAGCGAAGAATGCTTGGAGTATCTCTTTGTAGTGGTGATAGGCAGTCTGATTCTCCGTCAGATGGGGGAGGGTGGGGGGGGAGGGGCATAAGGTGTCACTGTGATCATGTTAAGACGTAAAAACGGTTGAAAATGGCATGTTTCTCGGTTTGCTGGGACCTGCTGAACGTATTTATCTGTGAATAGTACTCCCAGGGAAGCAAACGATTGCCCGAATGGTTTTCGAAGAGGTGACACATATAGATTAGGCAGATATTGTGTGCTGATGTTTAGGAGTGTGTACACATTTCCGTGCTAACTGAAGGTATTCAGCTCAGAATCGAAGGACTGGTCATGTTGGAACGTTCCAGTAACGCCACTTTTGTCAGATCCTCACACCGATTGTTCGAACGATCTTGATAATCACGATAACATTGTGTATTTTCGTTATCAGCAGTTTTTTCCCACAAAATTGTTCTAGGCCTTTCCTGAGCATTCAGGAAGTATCAAGTCTTGTGCGCCTCATTTTCAGGAGAAATATATTGCCGATTTGGATTCCAAATCTGGCGCATCATTAAAATTAACCGTACTGAATCGCCATGGACGTATATGGACAATGGTAGCAGGTGGTGGTGCATCCGTTGTTTACACGTACGTTGTAGATTCTTCTTTTATATGTAATCATCATTACAAAAGGCGGTACGGGCCTGAAAGGCCCTGTGAAGAAGAAAAGAAGAAGAAGGGGCCGGAACAACGGCCCAACAGCGAAGGGTATTAGACGGAGGAACCGCACAAATCGTACATGCAATAGGAGAATGCGGGAGTGGGGCGGTAATCGCCCAAGGTCTGTGGTGATAATGAAAGAAAATAAAAGGGTCAGATTGTTGTGACAAATATTTTTTTAGAAAAATCAGGGTGGAATTTAAAAGAAGTCATGTGAAGAGCAGTATGTAAATAAGCCTGCCTGTGTTTCATCCCCAGGCTGTAAACACAGACAGCACGAGACGTGATTAGGGGCGGGAATCATCAGTACAGCCCCCCTAACCACCATGTTTCAATGAACATGGCGTAGGCATAGGATGAAATAGGATAAAAAAACATGCAAGGAAAGAGGAAAAAGAATAGAGAAATCTCGACTAACGTGAATGAAGAAATTGTCTGCTTTGCTTCGTTTGGACGCGACGTAACTCATTCCTCGGCATCGGATGTGGTTACCGTGATAATACATTTCAGGGATACAGTGTGTGATCTAGGAGGAATCGCTGAGCTAGCGAATTACGGCGAATACTCGGGTGATCCGTCTGAAACAATGACATTCGAATACGCAAAAACCATTCTTGGTATGCTCACCGAAGGCCAGCCCCATCCAAATGGCAAAGTTCTGATTATTGGTGGCTCAATTGCCAATTTCACCAACGTTGCTAATACTTTCAAAGTAGGTCCATTGTTATTACATGCATAATGCAAACCAACCTTTTTTGAATTTTCGTTGAATTAACTGTCTGTGTTTGCAGCTCAGGGATGAAACACAGGCAGACAACCTTTTACATACTCTTCTCTACATGAGTCTTTTACATGTCATACGGTTTTAAACCGAACTATCTTTCCTATCATTTTTCATTAACTAATTTTTTTCCCCTTTTCATTAAAATTTTTTCGGTTTTTCCACCACACCTTGTTTTCCGAGGCTTGGACTGGCCGTTGTTTCAGAACTTTTGGGCCGAAAAAATCAAAGGCCGAAAAAAAACTTTTCCAATTCCATCCGGCCCGGCCGCCTTACCTGGACCATCCATTTTCCCTTACGTTAGTTTAACACCTCCAGATTCATGAGAATTCATGAGAATTTTTTCATGAGAACTTCATGAGAATTTTTTGACCTACATATTTTATACTGGCCCGCATGGTACATGGTACTGAGTTTACATTACTAATTTAAGGTTGAATGAAAATTTTGTTGAAAAATGTAAGAAAGGATGATAGAAAAAATAAAAAAGTTAAAAAGGGAGGATGTAAAAAAGAAGTATTAAATTAGGTAACCCTCGTCTACCACAACGCGGACATTCCTATTTGGAATGATCACTTCTTGGTCGGGCCCTCCATGTCCCTTTCTACCCTTTCTATTTTAAAACAAATGGATAATTGCTGATCTTCTTCGTTACAGGGGATTGTGAGAGCCTTTGAAGCATATCAGGAACGTTTGCGTGAACATAAAGTTACAGTGTATGTGCGTCGCGGAGGACCCAATTATCAAGAGGGGCTGCGAAAGATGAAAGAAAGCGGTTTGTTGCAATTGCCTGATCTTGTACTGTCCAGGAAGCAAAACTTCGCCTCTCTTTTTATGCTTTTGTGCTGTGTAACAGCGTTGCAAAATACGTATTGTCACGGGGTTGTCTGTGTGTGTGTGTGTTTGTGTGCTTGTCCCACATTTTGTCCCGCACTTTCAACTCGAGAACCACAAAAGCTAGGCGGCTGAAATTTTGGTATAGTGCTCTATTTTGTCCCGCACTTTCAACTCGGGAACCACAAAAGCTAGGCGGCTGAAATTTTGGTATAGTGTTCCCCACCAACGGGTGACGCGGCAAATTTAAATTCAGACTTCCCGTCCCCACGGGTAACACGTACGGCCCCACGAAAGTTTTTTACGCGTAAATTAATATCTCAGGAACCACGGAGTCTGGGGGGCTGAAATTTTAGGGTAATGGTCCCCTACCCACGCTCAACCTTGCTTGTTCAAATTCAGCGTTCTTGCGTTCTCGGTTACCACCTACGGCCTCGTGAAAATTTTGGCGGGTAAACTATCAACTCTGGAATCACGGAAAGATATTCACCCTTCAAGGTTTGGAATTCAGCTTTCATGCGCTGGTGGGTGAAATTTTTAACTATTTTCCAATTGTTGAACTATTTTTGCATAGACAAAAGTACAGAGCAGTGG